GTTAGGTGTAAAAAACAGTCTTTCTTTAATTGTTTGATTTCTGAGATCTTACTTGTTCTTTGTTGGACTGAAAGGAAAAAAAAACTGAAAAATGATGAAATAAATTTCAGTTTTGAAATATGAGCCAAGGTACTTTCTCTTTGGTATCACTTGTATTTACATAAACTGGCAAGTTTTAGCACGTCATGGCAGACACTCGATATCTTTTGTCATCACGGCCGTTAAATTGTCCTGTAAAGTTGAAAGTTTCTTTGTTTTTCACAGATCAGCCATTTGATGAACCACCAATGAGAAGTGGTGTTGGAATACAGAAAGTTCAGGACTCTTGGGCACAATGGGTACTGAAAGGTTTCCTTTGTACATATCGGTGTTCGAAAGTTTTAGGGAAAACTCTACAGTTTTTATTATTTTATAAAGTCTATATGAAATACATGTAATTAAAAACAATTAATTTAGTTTAATTAACTCAAGATTAATTGTATAGCCTCTGTAGTCTAATTTATAGACATTTTGTTATTCCCAGAAGATTAAGCTGTTGTTTTTTTTATCTTTTGCACATTTATAATATAACTTTGTTTCTAGTTTGTGTATTGAAATATTACATGTTTTATTTTTAAAGAATAAAAGCTGTTGACGTTTTTAATACATATTTTGGAGTAGTGTATTGTTCTTAGATATTGAGACCAGTTACCATATTAAAAACGTCATTTTTCTAGTATTTATTAACAGTATCAATTTTATTGAATGAAAATATAAACCTTAGGTTTGTGATACTTTTATAATGATGGGTTTAACTGTTATATTAGGTTATTTTCATTAACGTTGTTGGTTAGTATGTTTAATATACGCATTTTTATTATTCTTTATTGTTATTTTGTATTGTTGGCTCATTAAATGGATTTACAAGTAATTTAAATCTAGACTAGCCAAATCTCGTGAGATACTAACGGGTTTACGGCCAAAAGTGTCACAAACAATACATTATAATCTCTATAGGAAAGAATGTAAGAAACCTATACTTACTTAGCTGTACTCAATTACTGGGCTGATTTTTTAGTTGTAATCTAAGTTGCTAGCTTGCTCTGATTAGAAGTTAATATTAACGAATCAACTACTATTTATTATTTTCTTTCAGGAAAGTGAAGGTTCCTCTGATGATGAGCAGGATTTTGGGGTTGTAAGGAAGAATTCTTTGAGTAAAGTAAGAAGATATTAATGTTTCTGTTTATTTAAAAGAAATGAAGAATCGTAATCAGCATTGTTCGTTTACTGTTTAATCATGTGACTTGAAAATAAAAGTAGCTATAGATACAGCTTTGCAATGAAAGCTTATAAAGTCTTAACCCTATACCTACTGATCAGATCCGTATTTATTTTTTTTAAGTTTATTGTTGCAACAGAAACAAACATAAAATTACTTAATGTAATGCAAAATGTGAATGGTGAAGTCGGGAATGTGAGGGTTAGAAACTAATAGGGCTGAGGAACCTTGTTAGGCTCATACATATTTTCTAAACAGCATCATTGGATATACCTTTTAAAGTTGTTTTTTTTTGTGGTTTAAAAACGAAAATATACAGGTATAATATATCACAGATAAACCTTTCTTGAAGTTAATTATTTCAACACTACATGTATAAAAAGTTTTGTTGTTTATGAAGCCTATATAAACAAACTCTTGTGATCAGAACTGTTTTTAATGTAGAAGTATTTATTCATGCTTCTACGTTAAGACTTTCCTTTTATAATGATCATTGCTGTCTGTCCAGAAATTCCATCGAAATACACCGTGGTCAACTCATCAGCTATCATCTATTTTTTCTCAGGGTTTTCGTGTTCGTTTGGAACCGCTACTAGAGGGATGTAAGGAAGTGTTTTCTGATGATGAATCCAGCACAGACTCGGGAGTTGCTCTCTCCGCCTGGTCGTATTGTTTTCCAGTCCACGAAGGATCTCAAACTCTGGTCACTAGTTACGAATGTTCTAATCACAGTGCTTTGTGGGAAGCATCCAGCTTAGATAAAGATGACTCGGATTATATGACATCTGAAGACGATGTCGATTTTACGTACCTGAAGAAATCCACGGAAGATATGATGTCTCGTTGGATTGAAGAGGTATGTTGGATCTTTCATGTCTATTTTAGATTTTGTGCGTGAAGTATAATGTTATAATAATACACATTCAGTACCTTGAGCTTCTGTATTGAGGATTTTATGAAGGAAATTTACTTTCTGAAAAAAAAAAAAAAAAAAAAAAGATTAAAACATCCAGAAAGTGATTTGTTTTTTCCTTGTTCAAAATGGTATTAATCAAAACATCGTGTTAGTTAATTTAGAACTCAAAATGAGAAAAAAAAAGGCCATAAAAGATTGAAAACAAAATAAAAACTCTGCACATAGTAGAAAGTTCTATAGTAGCCGCTCCATGATGAACATGGTGCAGACAGCCAATTGTATAGCTTTCCACTAAAACAAAATAATCCAAACATTAATCCAAATTTATCACTGTATTGGTAACCAGTGTACCAAAACGAATACAAAAACACATTGAAATTGTATATTTTTGTCTAATATTCTGCAGAGTTTTGAAAATTAATTATTGTTTGCTGTTTAATCCAATCATTTTGTAATCACTAAAGATCATTTAACTTGTAACAATTCTGTTGTGTTACAAAATTTTTTTAATTCCTGTGTCGTCTATCTGGTAGATCTGTATGATGGTAGTTTCGAATTACTTAAATTGAAGTCTTAAATTGTTTTTTTTTTATATACGTTAATCGTCTTACAAGGCTTTCTTTAGAATGAGAGAAATCCCCCTACCTTAAATATTAAAAGTTTGGGTGTTTATAACAATATTTTAGAAACTTGTTTTTGCAAAATAAGTTGTGAAAAAGCTTTTGATGTGGGAGTTATAGTGATGATATTATAACTGGGTTCTGTTGAGTTTATTGATTCTTAGATTTTATGTGGTTATTATAACTTGTTGAAGTTCTAAAAATTCAGTTGGTAAACTTATTCAATCTGAAAACTTCCAAAACAGGAAGACCAAAGATTTAGGAACACATCTGGTGCGAGACCAGAATCTGAAAACTCTAAAATCACGGGAACATCTCTCTACACATCGGTAGGAGACAAAATGTTATATTCCAACAAGAATTCTACTTCTGAGGTGAGAATCTTCCTTATAATAAAGTCAGATGAATGTTTGGATTGTACGAAAGTGCCTGGGGTGATCAAACTAAAGCTTGATAAGGGATCTAGGAAGAGTAAAGATCTGAGGGAAGCGGGAGTGTAATCATACCATGATAGCCCAAGACAAGGATTGCGAAGTTCCTTACTCCACTGATTTTATTTTATTTAATTAATCTCTAATTGGGCTCTGAGTGGTAGAAAAAAATCAAGCATATTTGAAAACCCCCAAGGAGAAAATTTCTTTAAAAAAACTTAATAAAAATTTTGGTTTCAAAAACTTCTATTGAATTTGATTAAGAATTAAAAAGCTCATTTTACCACGTGATGACTCGAGTTCGATCGTCTCCTCAACAGCGTAAAAATAATTATTGTTTCTGGAAAAGTTTAGAACAATATGTCTATCTGATAATGTTTAAATTGATAAATCTGTCTGAAGATGTTCAGAAATGGTATGCCTGTCTAAAAATATTTTTAATGATACGTACATTTGCCTGAAGATGTTTAGATTAATGCAAGACGTGTTTATTACAAGAAAATAAAATTTTTTATTCAGATGTTAGGTAAATTATTTATTACAGGTTCTATAACTTGACACAGATATTGCTGCTTCTTTAACAGGGTTACATCAGTCTCAAGAAACTGTACTTTTAAGACTATTTGGTACATTTTGAGGCTCTACACGTAGAAGCTTTATTTAAAGCGATTATCTTAAGCCTAATGGAATGACTGAACGTCATAAGACGTTTTCAACCTTATGCCATTCTTTAAAC